GTCTTTGTACCCCTTTTCCAGACAAAGTCTCTCCTGCTTCCCAGGCCACATGGACAAAGGGAGCACCCCAAAGCCTCGTGGTCCTCTTCTACCAAAGCTGTGTGGGTCCCGACTCTGGCAAAGCCATATGGTTCCCTACCCAGTGCCTGCCATGTCTGGGTTTAAGTCCCCACGCCAATCTTCCTCTGTACCCCCATTTCCAACTCATCCTACAATCGATTACACCTCTGGGCATTCCTGTATTGTTCCAAGTTTGCTGGGCTGCCATCGTGAATCTGTGCAGGTGTGGTCCCATGTAATGGAGCCAATCTTGTCCAACCTCTCACGTAGGTGGTGTAACCCAGGGGACCTGTCCCCCAGTTACATCTCGGGTAGAAGTCACTTCCATCCCCCTGGCTCAGAGCATGGTCACAGTTATTTAACATATCTATGCAGCCAGTAAAAGGTTATAGATATGTTAAGTGACCCTGCCAGAGGTTAGCTGCAAAGCTGTTGCTGTACAAAACAGCTCTGCATGTTCCTGCTCCATGTGTCCCTTCCCACAACTCACACCTGTGGGAGAGAAGAGGTGAGGACATCCTTTATATCTTTCTAATATTTCCTGGGCACCCTGAGTTCTGGACCCCATTCTAAAACCCTATTTGACCCCCCACACCACCCACTTGGCTGCACCCTGTATCAATAGGCCATTTGCAAGTCCAGGTTGTTACGTGTGCTTCTGACCAACTGGCTATAAATCAAAAGATCCTAAAACCCCCTCTGTGGGTTCAATTAATTTGCTGGTCATAGAACTCAGAGAAATATGTTACTTTTTCGATCACCGGTTGATTATAAAAAGATATAACTCAGGAACAGCCAAATGGAAGAGATACATAGGGTAAGGTGTGGGGCAAGGGGCATACAGCTTTCACGCCCTCTCCAAGTGTACCACTTTCTCTATACCTTCACACATTTTAGACCCTAAAACTTCTTGAACCCTAGCTTCTTGAGCTTTTATATAGGCTCCATTATGGTCACAACTGATTAAATCATTGGCTATTGGTTATTAATTTAACCCCTAGCCTCTGTTTCTTCCCAGGAGGTGGGGTAGAACTTAAAGTTCACACCCTTGAATCACATTGTTGGTTCCAGTGGCAACCAGCCCCCCCATTCCTGGTGAAATCCTATAGGAAACTGTTCTGTGTGGTATGGGCCCAGCTCCCACTTGGAGATGCACAGGACCCACACCCATGGATAGGTTCTCCTGGGGGAATCAAGCCTGCATTGTACCTAGGCTGCTTTGAGACTCATTTTTGCTAAAACTCTCTCACCCTGAATTGAGGCAGAAGTGCTTAATCTAACTTCTTAAAGTCTGCACTAAACCTTCCTGGTATAGAGTGCAACCAGTTCAACCACTTTTCCCTTTGCATTAGCAAATATCCTTCTTCTGTGATGTGATTAGCAACACCATCTCCTTTGTTTTCTGTAAAAGGTAACCACCTAAAAAATGAGGACCATCATGTAATGTGCCTAGAAAAGCAATAAAGGGTTGTAAAGGCAAGGGTGGAGGTCTTTTTATCCTCTTGAGAGACCAGCCATGCCGTCCCTTTTCCTCCACAGGACTTGGTAGTCCCTGTGAATTTCTCATGCCTCATCCACAATGTGGCAGACTCCACGAGCTGGGTCCCATATCAGGGTCCAAAGGTCACCTCATTTAACTTAACAAAAGACAACTTTTTCAATCTCTGCATTAGAAAATTCCAAGAGTTCCTGAGATTTGTGAGTCTGGAATTCTGGACAAAGATCAAATATTTGTGAGAAATATATTTATGTTGTCTGAATGACCCAGTATACATTTCTTTTTTTTTTTAATATTTTATTTATTTGTTTTTCGAGAGAGGGGAAGGGAAGGAGAAAGATTGGGAGAGAAATATCAATGTATGGTTGCCTCTTATGAGTTCCCTGCTGGGAACTGGCCTGCAACCCAGGCATGTGCCCTGACTGGGAATCGAACCGCAATACTCTGGTTCACAGGCCCGCACTCAATCCACTGAGCTATGCCAGCCAGGGCTACATTTCTTATAAATCACAATTTCTTATATATCACAATTAGAGATTCTTGAACACAAGTATTGACCCATTTTTAATGTGCTTCTGGGTAATAGATGATTCCTAATTTATTAAAAGTCTTTGGTGTAGTCATTGTGTGGTTCCTGGGGCAGGGGTAAAATCTGTGTTCGGTAATTTCTGCCAAAATCATAGACCTATTTTCTATTATTTAAATTAATTTTTTTACCTAAACTTAACATTTTGGAATTGAAAAGCTTTATACAGATGATTTTAGTCCTAAGATCTTTCTTAACTAATATGAAAGTAAGGCCCTGAAGGACACAGTGACAACTGAGAACACATAGCTAGTTTTTGGCAGATCAAGTACGAACACCCAAGTCTACTATTGACACCAGAAGGAGCTTGGTTTCCAAATCGACCAAATTACCTAATTATGTGTCCTCTGCATAGGAAATATCTCTGCTGACTGACTGCAATAAAAAGAATGTAGTGTGGTATTGTAAAAGAGGTAAATATAGATTTGGAATCAAATAGATCAAGTTTAGATTCTGGTGTGCTCACTTAATTAGCTACACAGGCTTTGAATAACTACTTAACTTCTCAGCCTCTTTCTTCAGCTATAAAATGTAGACAATTATATCCAGTTCACCAAGTTGTGTTGATGAAATGATATAAATGTATATGAAGTGATTGAAACACAACTATTGAGGTAATTCTTTAAAACAACCTTTAGTAAGTTATACATTTGCATGTTTAATGTTTCTTAATGCATACACTTTTTGCTAATGCATAAAACTTATTTTTTAATCAGTTGATTTACAACATTATATTAGTTTCATGTGCACACTCTTGTGATTAGACATTATACAACTTACTAAGTGATCATCTGGATAAATCTTATACACATCTGACACCACTGAGTAAATGAACAGTAGATTTCTCTTTTTTCCTTTGTCCTCAGAATGCTGAAAATTTGGGAGTGGCCCTAAGTGTTACAAAAGAGTCTACCCAGTTATTTTTCATAATAGTTACTTTAAAAAATACTATCAGGAACTCTGTACTTTGGAAGGTGAATGCTCAGAGCACTCAGTGTAGCTAAGCTGGATGACAGAGATCATTTTTTTTTTGACACTTTGCAGAGCTCATTGTTTTTTCTGGATTAAAAAAAACTATTATGTTCACTTAATAAACACCTCTAACAGGCATCAAAGTTGTCTTCTGACAGCTCCACAACTGATTTTGACCTTCCGCTCTTTTTGATGATACTACCTTTCCTTTCACACCAGTTCTTTGAGCTCAAGCAGAAACAAAGACTACCTGCCCATAAGGTCTTGGCAGAAGGGTGTGGTAGGCAGAAGGACAGGAGAGGCTCTTAAGGGGAATAAACCAAGACCTGGTAACACTTCTAAAACACCACTGGGCCCTGAAAAACTTTGTGTTCTTATAACAAATATGAGAGTAAAATTAAGATGGTTTAATATAACATATGACGGCCACACTAGATGATTTTAAAAGCCCAACTTCTATACTCTGCAATATTTTAATCCTGATAGGTTATTAAAAAGGATCCTCAGAGTTCCTTTCCTGGAATCTCTATAGGATCAGTTCCAGCATGAGGTGCCACATAGTTCTGTTTGGTATAGTAAACCTGAGTCAGAGAAAACACTTATTGAAAGCTGCTGTTTTCCTCTTCATAAAGCTTATATCAACCTATAAAAAGTGATCAAAACGCATTTCAGAAAGAATATCACAACAGGATGCAACAGTTACCCCACAGTCCATAGACTAAGGCATAATTTCAGGACAGGAATTTCACTTAACCAGGTAAGCTGTCAAGGGATAGCTAGGAAAGCCAAGCTAGGACTCTGCTAACTGGACTCAGGTAAATTACTAAAGAGAAACAATTTCTTGGGGTTACTCTCCAAGAGGAGGAGTGTCTGGCCTCCCCACTCATGTCCTTTAGTGCTATTGCCAGGCTCAGTACTGAGCTGTGTGGACCTTTACTCTGGCCAGTACCATGTAAATCTGTTGCTCTCCACCTGGCTGCACAGTGGAAGTACTTACCTGGAGCACTTAAAATAAACCTGACGAGCCTGTCCCATTTCCAGAAAGTCTAGTTTAGCATGTCTGAGGTATCTGGAGCATTTGGATTTTTACAAATCTCGTGTGATTCTAATGTGTAGCTAGCCACCGAAACCACTGGCATAAACTTATAAAGTCCTAGCAAACCTTCCTCTTTAAATTGAACACTTTATCATTTAGCTTTCTGGCACCTGGTTTTTGTTTTGTCATGTTTCTTTCCACTCAACACACTGTGGATTTCACTCTGTAGTCAGACTAGAATAATCCCAAAGTGGAATTCATGAGGGGCCCTTGGTAAATAAGAACTCTGGCAAAGAGAGTGATTCCACCCAAACCCGGTATGAACTAACAGTCACTCCCTGCTGTGTTGCCCCACCTTTCTTCAAGGGTCGTTTGGCACCGAGTCTTAACACATCCTCTTGTTGTCATTTGGCAGGCTTCCTAGTTGAAAGCACCACGTCCCTGGGTGGGCACCGTTTCTCAGCCCCAAGCAGCGGAATCCATTGCACCATCCGCTTAGCTTTGCAGAACCAAGGGCGCTTAAGGTCCTCCTAACGTAATTCAGATTCCTGGGGAATCCAAGCCTGGCTACTTGAAACACTCCTCTCTCCTCTCTCTGTTCGCCCCAATTTTTTGTTTTACTTAGAAAGCAGATATTTAGATTTCCAGGTGGCAGCCCGTCTCAGATCCAACTCTAACAAAGAAAAAGCCCCAGCATCTGGTGGTGCCAAAGACCTTGTCTCCCTCCCTACGCCGGACCCTTCCCCCCTAGTCTAGGGTCCGTGAGGCCAGTGACGCTAGAGCCCCAGCTTTTGCCCCGCCCAGCATCTGGTGCTAGCATACTCCCTTCGCTCCACCCTTTGGTGATTCAGAACCCTGGAACCAGCCAAGTCGCTAATTTAAATTGATTTGCTGAACAGTTTATGCTCTGCTGCTACTTACAGCTTTTTTTCTGTAGACCGGCTGATCTTACTGCCGGGACCTCGGAGAGCCAGCGCCGGGCCCCTGTCTTGCGCCATGAGTCCCTCCTGGCGGGGCATCCCCGAAGTGCTGGGTCGCCTCTTTGGGCCGATTCCGCTGCTGCTGCTGCCGCCGTCGCTGCTGCTGCTGCTGCTGCTGTGTCCCCACGCATCTCGGGGTGAGTGGACCGGGGACCTGGCCCCTCTGGGTGAACCCCTAGGTTGTGTGGGACGGGCCGGGTCCGTCTGCGTGACAACCAAGAAGTCTGGGGACCTGGTGAGGTGAGCGATGTGGGCATCGGTATTTGTTCCCATAAATTTCTGCCTTTGAGGCTCAGAGATCTTACTGGCCCTATCCCTTGGGACAGGAAGAGAATATCAGCTGCTAATCAGCAATTACAGGACTTTCTGTGCTGGACCCCGGCTGGCCTGGCTTTAGTAGTGAGGCATTGAGAATGGAGGAAGCACTGGTGAGTTGGTGGGGCCCTTAAACATGGGAAACAGAAAGGCAGGGCTTGAACTGAGTGACTTGTCAATTCCCCCAGCATTTCTTTCAGGGTGGGAAGCCAAATTAGCTGAAGGCTCTAGCCCCTAAACAGAATCCAGTCGAGTAAGACACCTGAAGCTACAAATTTGAAATCTCCAGGTGTAACGTTCCAAGGGGGCATCTGTCTTTATTGCATGCCTAGCAACATTATCTGCGTGGAGATAAAGACTAAACCACTTTATCAACAAGACAGGAAGCCTAGCAAATTCTTGGTCTGTCAGTTTGGCACTGGATGGAAATGTAAATGTTCATCAAAGGCCATTGCTGCTTCCCTTATTGCCTTGGGACAGGAATGTTGCTGTGTTTCCTTCAGTTCCATTTTTTTTTTCCTCTCTAGGTGACTGCAAGCTTCCCCCACAATTACCTAATTCTCAGGCAGATTTGAAAGGTCTTACAAGTTTTCGTAAAGGAGACATGGTAACATACATATGCGATAAGGGGTTTTTTAAAATTCCTGGCAAGACAGACACAGTGTTCTGTCTCGAGAACAATGAATGGTCACAAATCACAGCATTTTGTAATCGTAAGTTCATTTTTTTTCTTTTAAAAGTTATGGGAATGGAATGTATCTTGTTAAGTTAAATTTTATCCCTTGTTGGAGTAACTGGTAATTGATTGTTTTCTAGCATTATAAACCCCAGGGTATACCTGTTGGCACACTTCATACTTCAGCTAATTGATGGCATTACTTCTGGGAATAGGTCCTGCTTCTCCATTAACACTTCCCCTACACCCCACACACTGTACCTTCTGAACTAACGGAGAAAATAAACGCTAGGTACTGTTGTTTTTTTTTTAGTGAATAAATTACATATGAACATGTTTGGCAATTATGTAGAGACACATATCCTCAAACTCTATGTATAGCCCTATATTAGCTTTGACGTATACTAGTAGGTATAAACAACAAGTATTTCTTGAAACTAGTATGAAGTGGGCTTGAGTGTTTTTTTAACCTATCTGTGATACAAGGTAGTAGGTTGATGTCCCTAAGCCTTTGCACATGTATCAGGTTACAGAGTTTATAACTCTGCTACTTATATTACTTCATCTAATCCTCTGGACAACCCTATGAGTTAAGTAGGGACTCATCTTCATTTTCCAGTTGAGGAAGCAGGCCTTTGGGAGTTAACTAACTTCCTTGAGATCAACAAAAGCCATGGTTCAATCTTGAGTTTTTTTACTATAAATTCAATGCCCCTCCCACAATTCCATACCTCTATAAATTCATACTGCCTAGATGTTTAAAATTTTAAAATACTTTCGTGTACACATTGGCCCATCTAATCCTTGTCCCAATGGCTTGTTGTGAAATTAAATGAATGGATATGTTTAAAACATTTATAAGTGTTCCATAAATATTAGCTATTATTGTTACTATTGTTGTCTAGGACATTAGCCCAGGGGTCTGGGATTATTGCTTCTCATCTACCCCTGTGCTACATGGGACAGGTTAAGGGAACTGGCATATATTGAGTCAGTACCAGAACTATGCCAAGCAGCTTAAATGGGTTATATTTTTTTCAAATTGTATTCACAGTGACATCTATGTAACAAATCTACTTCACAGGACTCTAGTAATTAGGAAATGAAAACGTATATTTGAATATATTCTTGAGACACTATAAATATCATGTTGATAGTAATATAGTTAAATACCAAAAATGTACAAAGAAGCACAGAAATGGAGGGATGTAAGGACCAGATAATTCTAAATAATTAAATGTAAATTATAAAATAAAATGTTATCACCTTTTCTTGTTGTTGCTTTTGTTAATACTTTTTAGGTAGCTGTAATGTTCCAACCAGGCTGTCTTTTGCATCTCTCAAAACCCCTTATAAGACAATAAATTACTTCCCACTGGGTATTGTTGTGGAATATGAATGTCGCAAGGGCTTCATAAGAAACCATTCCCTCTCAGGAAATATAACTTGCCTTCAGAATTATACATGGTCCGAAGCAGATGAATTTTGTAAAAGTAAGTATAATTTTAAAGAGATTCTTAATTCTATGGTATTTTGGAAAGTAGTATTTAATCCTTTATGCTGCAAGTCTATGTGCGCATATTATTATATGTACATATTATTATTTAAAATGATTCTTTAAAGAAACATTGAATAATTTTATTTTAAATTAGGCAAACTAAATACTTGCAAGATAGGAATATTAATTTACTCAAAGATTTTACATTTTATTGGATTAAAGGCACCTTGAAATGAAATCAGTATGTATTGTAAATATGTTGCATTTTTGAAACTTACAAAATGACTGTAGGATTTCAGCAGTCTACAAATAAGAGGTTATCAGTGCTTTAAATGATGAATTTGCATAAATGTGCCTGACAATTCAATGTAAAAAACAACTTGTATTGTCTTCTAGAAAAATCATGTCCTAATCCTGGAGAAATAATAAATGGTCATATCACTATAAAAACTAGCATATTATTTGGTGGACTCATCACCTTCTCATGTAATACAGGGTAAGTTTTTACATGCTTAACACTTTATATTTAACAAATGAAAAAACAAATTAGTATTTAAGAAGAAAATTTTTAGATACGTGGCCAGTGTTTACAAGCCATTAGCAATAAAACAATCTGCCTGTTCAAAGAGGTTTGTCAGGAGCTCATCACAGTTAAATTTAGTAAAATGAGCCAAGAAAATATGATATTACAGCATCAAATTTTCTAAATTCTTAGATTTCAGTATATATGTGATTCATTATAAAATTTTAAATGTGATTAGTAAAGGAAAAACTTTCTAATATGGTGATACTACTTGCAGAAATTAAATTCAAGTGTTGAATGAAATGTATCTTTAATTTACCAAAATAATAAATTTGCACATGTTTTTTTCTATATATAAACAACCTATTATATAATATCACAGGCTAAAAACATTTATTCCTAGTGTGAAAATATCATTTGACCTAAGGCCTTTTTTAAGCTCTTATGTAGAGAAAAAGAACTCACTCATTGAGTATTATCAGTGTCTCAGATACTGCTGAAAACTTTATATGAATTTTCTCATTTTAAATCTGCAAATTAAGTTATAATATTTTACTCCGTACGTGCGTCCATTATTTACAAAATAAAAATAACAGTATCACATATCTCCTATACTAAACATGGATGTTTGGATCATTAATATCATATCTGGGAGGAGTTTGAACCATTTAAACGTAAGTACATTCTATTATTCTATGAAAGCTGTATTGATCTTTTAGAACACAAAAATATAAAATATTCAAGCATCTATATAACTTTATTATTTTTTCTTTTTTTGTTTGTTTATTTTTATTTTATTTTTTAATATATTTTATTGATTATGCCATTACAGTTGTTCTATTCCCCCCTTCATTCCCCTCCACCCTGCACAACCCCCCCCCACCATTCCCCCCTTTAGTTTATGAACACATGTCTCAAGTCCTTTAGATTCTATATTTCCCATACTATTCTTGCCCTCCCCCCTATCTATTTTCTACCTACATCTATGCTACTTATTTTCTGTACCTTCTCCCCCCTTCTCCTTCTCCCACTCCCCTGTTGTTAACCCTCCATGTGATCTTCATTTCTATGGTTCTGCTCCTGATCTAGCTGTCCTCTTAGTTTGCTTTTGTTTTAGGTGTGGTTCTTAATAACTGTGAGTTTGCTGTCCTTTCACTGTTCATCTTTTTCATCTTCTTTTTCTTAGGTAAGTCCCTTTAACATTTCATATAATAAGGGCTTGGTGATGATGAACTCCTTGAACTTGACCTCATCTGAGAAGCACTTTATCTGCCCTTCCATTCTAAATGAAAGCTTTGCTGAATAGAGCAATGTTGGATGTAGGTCTTTGGATTTCATGACTTGGAATACTTCTTTCCAGCCCCTTCTTGCCTGTAAGGTCTCTTTTGAGAAATCCACTGACAGTCTGATGGGAACTCCTTTGTAGGTGACTGCCCCCTTATCTCTTGCTGCTGCTAGAATTCTCTCTTCATTTTAGTCTTGGCTAATGTAATTAGGATGTGCCTTGGTGTGTTCCTTCTTGGGTCCAACTTTTTTGGGACTCTCTGAGCTTCCTGGATTTCCTGGAAGTCTATTTCCTTTGCCAGATTGGGGGAATTCTTCTTTATTATTTGTTCAAATAAGTTTTCCACTCGTGGCTGTTCCTCTTCCCCTTGTGGCACCCCTATAATTCTGATGTTGGATCATTTAAAGATGTCCTGAAGGTTCCTAAGCCTCTCCTCACTTTTTGAATTCTTGTTTCTTCATCCATTTCTGTTTGGTCATTTTTTTCCTTTTTCTGGTCCACTCCTTTGATTTGAGTCCCAGTTTCCTTTCCATTACTATTGGTTTCCTGTGCATTTTCCTTCATTTCAATTAGTTTAGCCTTCATATGCTCCTCTAATTTGTGACTAAAATCAACCAGTTCTGTGAGCATCCTGATCACCAGTGTTTTGAACTGTGCATCTGAAAGTTTGGCTATTTCTTCATTGCTTCGATTTATCGGCTCTGGGGCTCTAAGTTCTTCTTGAGCCATGTTTTGATCTGTTTGTGCCTGTTAGGTATGAGTAGGGGAGCCTTAGGTGTTCACCAGGGAGGGCTACCCAGGTCGCTGGTTTGTGACGCTGTAGGTGGGGGCAGGGTCAGAGAGGGACAATGGTGGTTCCCTCTGCCACTTCCTGCCACTGGGGCCTGCATGGTCTGTCTCACCGCTTGCTCCTTCACCAGTTTATCTGCGCGCAAATGTGTGACCGTGGTCAGCCCTCAGTGAGTCCGCCGCCTTGCAACCTCAGTGGGTCCGCCTGCTTCTCCACACCTGAGATCCGCCTATGGCTGCCAGTGCTCCAGGGTCATGCACCTGTGTAGGTCCGGTGGATCTTTCCTACCAGACCCCTCTCTGTTGCTGGCTCTGCCCCTCTTACTGGTTTGGCTGAAGGGTTTGTTGTTGTCAGACTTCCGTGAAGTTCAATTTTCTGTGGTTTTGGCTGCATTTTTGTTGCTAAAATTTTGTTGTTTTTAAACTTGGTTGTGGGAGGAGGCACAGTGCTTCCACCTATGCCTCCATCTTGGCAGAAGTCCCCACTTTATTTTTATTTTAAGTATATTTTATTGACTATACTGTTACAGTTGTCCCATTTTTGCTCCCTTTAATCCCCCTCTGCCCTGTACACGCATCCTGCCAGCTTCCCTCCCTGACTTAGTTCATGTCCATAGGTCATACATAGAAGTTCTTTAGCTTCTCCATTTCCTACACTATACTTCTCCCTGTCTATTTTGTGCTTACCATTTATGCTTCTTATTCCCTCACTGCTGATAACCCTCTATGTGATCTCCATTTCTGTGATTCTATTCCTGTTCTAGTGGTTTGCTTAGTTTGTTTTTGTTTTTTAGATTCAGTTGTTGATAGTTCTGAATTTGTTGTCCTTTTACTGTTTATAGTTTTGATCTTCTTTTTCTTAGATAAATCCCTTTAACATTTTATATAATAAGGGCTTGGTGATGATGAACTAGTTTAACTTACCTTATCTGGAAAGCACTTTTTCTGCCCTTCTACTCTAAATGATAGCTTTGCTAGATAGAGTAGTCTAGGTTGTAGGTCTTTGCCTTTCATGACTTTGAATACTTCTTCCTAGCCCCTTCTTGGCTGTAAGAGGGTTTTTTATTTATTTTTTATTTTTTTGAGAAATCAGTTGATAGTTTTATGGGCACTCCTTTGTAGGTAATTCTCCTTTTCTCTTGCTGCTTTTCAGATACTCTTCTTATCTTTAATCTTGGGTAATATAATTATCATGTGTCTTGATCTGTTTCTCCTTGGATCTAACTTCTTTGGGATTCTGAGCTTCCTGGACTTGCATGTCTAGTTTCTTTGCTAGATTTGGGAAGTTCTCCTTCATTATTTGTTCAAATAAGTTTTCAATTTCTTGCTCTTCCTTTTCTCCTTCTATCACCCCTATGATTTGGACATTGGAATGTTCAAAGTTGTCCCAGAGGCACCTAAGCTTCTTCTAATTTTTTTGAATTCTTGTTTCTTCATTCTGTTCTGGTTGAATGTTTATTTCTTCCTTTTGAGGAAGAAATAAATCACTGATTTGAGTCCCCATTTCCTTTCCTTCACTGTTGGTCCCCTGTATATTTTCCTTTATTTCACTTTGCATAGCCTTTACTTCTTCCTCTAGTTTGCATCTGTACTCAATCATTTCTGTGATAATCCTATTACCAGTGCTTTGAACTCTGTATTTGATAGTTTGGCTATCTTTTTGTTGCTTAGTTCTTTTTCTGGAGTTTTGATCTGATCTTTCATTTGGACCATATTACTTTGTCTCAGTGTACCTGTTATGTTGTAAGGGGCAGAGCCTTTTGTATTCACTAGGGTGAGGCAACCCACTTCACTGTGTTGTGGTGCTGTATGCGGGGGAGGGGTCCAGGAGGGAACAATGCTGCTTGCTGGACTCTCGCCCAACTTTCAGTCACTTGCCCTGCTACCCACAGCTAATTGCACCCTTTCAAGGTGCTGACTCCTGGGTGGATGAGCTTTAGTATGTTCTAGCACCTTATGGGCCCATTCAACAGACTCTCCTGTGAGACTGGGAGTTTCTCCTTTTGCCGTAACCACCACAGTTTTTTACAGCCAGAGATTTTGAGGCTTTAGTTTCCTGTGACGTAACCCCGAGTTGCCTGGTCTGTCTAACTCCCCAGTTGTTCCTCCGAACACATCTGCACTCAAATATAGGACTGCTTGGTACACCACATATCACCTTGTCATACTTCCTTGCTGCCCTAGCTTTCTGTCTCCACTGTTCCTACCAGTTTGGATGAGTGTTTCTTCTTTAACTCCTTGGTTGTCCATACAGTTTGATTTGTTCTTTTTTTTTATTTGTTGGTATCCTTCTTTTGGTTGTGTGAAGAAGTGAAACTAATCTGCCTGCCCCTCCATCTTGTTCAGAAGCCGCAAGCATCTATATCATTTTGATATAGAAATGATATGTCATTTTGATATATTTCATATATCAAATGAAAAAACTGCCCATCAAAAGGAAAGGAGGAATTCTCAGAAAAGGTGCTAAATGAAATAGAGTCAAGTAAACTACCAGATATTCAATTCAAAAGAATGTTTATAAGGAAGCTCAATGAGCTCAGTGAGAATTACCAAAAACTACAAGGAAACTATAAGGAACTTACTACAAACTATATCAGCATGGAAAAGGACATAAAAACAATCAATAAGAGCCAAGAAGAAATGAAGAATAGAATTTCTGAAATGAAGAACACAGTAGGAGGAATCAAATTCCAGGTAGATGAGGCAGAAGATCGAATCAGTGAGATAGAGGACAGCCTAGGGAAAAAAAAAACAAACCAGAATGAGCAAGAAAAGAAAAAGAAAAAGGCTTAAAAAGAATGAAGGGGGGTTAAGGGAATTGCAGGACAACATGAAATGTAATAATACCTGTATAATAGAGATACCAGAAAAAGAAGAAGAGGATCAAGGGTTAGAAAATCTGTTTGAAAAAGTAATGACAGCAAACTTCCCTACTTTGATGAGAGAAAAAGTCACACAAGCCCAGGAAGTACAGAGGGCCCCAAGCAAGAGGAATCCAAAGAAGCCCACTCCCAGATACATCATAATTAAAATGGAAAATTCAACAACAAAAAGAGAATCTTAAAGGCAGCAAGGGAGATACAGAAAGTAACATATAAGAGAGCCCTAATAAGACTAGCAGCTGATTTCTCAACAGAATACTACGAGCCAGAAGGGAATGACAAGAAATATTCCAAGTAATGAAAAGCAAAGGCCTGCAGCCAGGAAGATTCTACCCAACAAGGCTCTTAATTAAAAGGGAAGATGAAATAAGGAGTTTCCTAGAAAAAAGAAGGCTAAGTAATACACCTCCACCAAACCAGTATTGCAAGATATGCTATAGGGACTGCTTTAAATAGATGAAGAAAAAGAGTGAGAGAGAGAAGAACACAGGTACAAAGGGTGAAAATAGCCTTAAATAATATAATAACCTTATAATTATTATTGTTATAAGTAACAATAATAACCTTAAATGTAAAAGGATTAAATGCTCCCATCAAAAGACATAGGGTAGCTAAATGGATAAGAAAACATGACCCATGCATATATGTCGAGATCCACCTCAGAACAAAAAACCTCCATAGACTAAAAGTGAAGGGTTGGGAAAAAATCTTCCAAGAAAATGGACAGGAAAAAGAAAGCCAGGGTAGCAATACTTATATCGGAAAAAAATAGACTTTACAAAACAAAGGTCATAAAAAAAGAGACACGCAAGAACACTTCATAATACTCAAGGAAAGAATCCATATATGCACCCAACATAGCAGCACCCAATTTATAGGAAAAGTCTTGGAGGACTTCAAGAAAGATATAGACAGCAACACAATTATAGTAGGGAAATTTAACACAACACTGTCAATAATGGATAGATCTTCCAAACAAAATATCATCAAGGATATTGTGGAATTGAATGATACATTAGATTAATTGAGTTAACTAATTTAGCTAGAATTTTTCATTCCAAAAAAACAAAATACGAATTCTTCTCAAATGCACATGGAACATTTTCAAAGATAGACCACATGATACAACACAAAGCAAGCCTCAACAAATTCAACAAAATTGAAATCATATCAAGCATTTTCTCTGACCACAAGGGACTGAAACTACAAACCACCCTCAAGGAAAAAACTCAGAAACATTCAAACTCATAAAGACTGAATACAATACTATTGAACAATGAATGGGGTAAGAATGAGATCAAGGAAGAAATCGAAGAGTTTCTGGAAACAAATGAAATGAACACACAACAGTCCAAAACCTATGGGACACAATGAAGACAGTCCTGAGAGGGAAGTTCATAGTGATACAGGTCTACTTATAAAATATAGAAACATTTCAAATAAACGACCTAACCCTACATCTATAAGAACTGGAAGAACAACAACAAACAAAGCCCAGAGTGAATAGAAGGAAGGAAATAATCAAGATCAGAGCAGAATCAAATAACATAGAGACTAAATGAACAGTTCAAAAGATCAATAAATCCAGGTGCTGGTTCTTTGAAAAGATAAACAAAAATGGGCAGGCCTTTAACCAGACTCATCAAGAAGAAAGAGAGAGGACCCAAATAAATAAAATCAGAAATGAAAAAGGATAAATTACAACCGAAACTACAAAAATACAAAGTATTGTAAGAAATTACTATGAACAACTATATGCTAAAAAATTGATGTGAAATTGACAAATTTCTAGAAAAATATAACTTCTAAAACTGAATGAAGAAGAAGCAGAAAGCCTGAACAGACTGATAACAGCTTGTGAAATTGAAGCAGTAATAAAAAAAACTCCTGGTACACAAAAGCCCTGGACCAGACAGTTTCATAGCAGAATTTTACAAAACATTTAAGGATGAACTAATCCCTATCCTCAGATTATTCCAAAAAAATCCAAGAAGAAGGAGGACTCCCACACTCTTTTTATGAGGCCAGCATCATCCCAATCCCAAAACCAGATAAAGAAACAACAAAGAAGGAAAACTACAGGCCAACATCACTGATGGACATAGATGCTAAAATCCTCAACAAAATATTGACAATCTGCATCCAACAATACGTTAAAAAGATCATACACCATGATCAAATGGGATTCATCCAAGGAATGCAAGGATGGTACAATAGTCACAAATCAATAAACATAATACAACACATAAACAAAATGAAAGACAAAGATCACATAATCCAATCAATAGATGCAGAAAAAACATTTGATAAGGTAGAACATTCATTTATGATAAAAATGCTCAGTAAAGTGGGAGTAGAATGAGCTTACCTCAACATACTAAAGGCCATATATGAAAAAACTTAGTCAACATCATTCTCAATGGCCAAAAATTAAAAGCTTTTCCACTAAGATCAAGAACAAGATAATACCTCTTTCACCACTTCTACTCAACATATCCTAGCCACAGCAATCAGAAGAGAAAAAGAAATAAAAGGCATCCAAATTGGAAAAGAGGAAAAAAAACTGTCATTGTTTGCAGATGACATGATAGCATACATAGAAAATCCTAGAGACTCCACCACAAACTTCCTCGACCTAATAAGTGAATTTGGCAAAACAGTGGTATACAAAGATATTGAGAAATCGAATGCATTTTTGTACACCAGCAATGAACTGTCAGAAACAGCCAGGAAAAAATTCCATTTGATATAGCAACAAGAGAAATAAAGTACCTGGGAATAAACCTAACCAAGAAGGTCAAAGACCTGTACTCAGAAAACTACACAACACTGAAGAAAGAAATTAAGGAAGGCAGAAATAAATGGAAGCATATACCATGTCCATGGATAGGAAGAATTGACATCATCAAAATCTCCATACTACCCAAAGCAATTTAAAGGTTCAGTGCAATTCCCATTAGAATAGCAATGACATATTTCACAGATACAGAACAAACACTTCAAAAACTTATAAGGAACCATAAACTGCCCTGATAGCCACAACCATTTTGAGAAAGAACAGCAAAGTAGGTAAAATCACAATACCTGACATCAAACTATGTTACAAACCTACTATAATCAAAACAGTCTGGTACTGGAATAAGAACAGACACACAGATCAATGGAACCGAACAAAGAGCCCAGAAATAAACCCATGTCTCTATGCTCAATTAATTTTGAACAAAGTGGGCAGAAGCTTAAAATGAAGTCAAAATAGCCGCTTCAATGAATGGTGTTTGGAGATCTGAACAGCTACATGTGAAAAATGAAACTCAATTGCTAACTTACACCTTACACAAGAATAAACTTAAGATGGATAAAAGTCTTAAATATAAGTTACAACAGACTAAAAGTCCTAGAGGAGAACATAGGCAGGAAAATCTCAGATATTCCACACAGCAATATTTTCACCAATACATCCCCTAGAGGAAGGAACATAAAGGAAAGAAGAAATAAATGGGACTTCATTAAAATAAAAAGCTTCAGCACAGCTAAAGAAAACATCAGCAAAATGAAAAAGGAACAAACTGTATAAGAAAATACATTTGCCAATGATACCTCGGACAAGGGTTTGATCTCCAAAATATGTACAGAATTTACACAACTCCATGAAGACATACAACCCAGTTAAGAAATGGGCAAAGGACTTGAACAGATACTTCTCCAAGGAAGACATACAAAGGGCCCAGAGACATATGAAAGGATGCTCAGCACCACTAGCCATCAAAGAGATGAAAATAAAACCACAGTGAGATACCACTTCACACCAATCAGAATGGCTATCATAAACAAATCAACAAACAAGTGCTGGTGAGGTTGTGGAGAAAAGGGAACCCTAGTGCACTGTTGGTGGGAATAGAGACTGGTGCAGCCGCTGTGAAAAACACTGTGGAATTTCCTCAGAAAACTAAAAATGGAACTGCATTTTGACCTGGCAATTCCACTGTTGGGATTATACCCTAAGAATTCTGAAACATCAAAAGAACCTATGCACCCCAGCATTCATAGCACCACAATTTATAATAGCCAAGTGCTGGAAACAACCTAAGTGTCCATCAGTAAATGAGTGGATCAAAAAACAATGTACTTTTACACAATGGAATACTATGTATTGGAAAGAAAGAAGGAGCCCCTACCCTTCATGACAGCAAGGATGAAACTGGAGAGCATTATACCAAGTGAAATGAGCCAGGTAGTGAAAGACAAACACTATATGATCTCACCTAAGAGTGAAACCTAATCAACATAACAAGCAATCAAAATATAATCAGAGACATTGAAATAAAGAACAAACTGACAGTAACCAGAGGGGAGAGGAATAGTGGGGAAAGAAGGGGAAGGGTCGTCAAGGAACATGTATAAAGGACCCATGGACAAAGCCAAAGGGACATAGGATTGAGGATGGGGGGTGGGAGTGGGTGGGGCATGAGAAAGTGGTGGTGGGAAAATGGAGACAACTATACTTGAACAACAATTAAAAAAATAAATGATTTAAAACACTTTATGTTTTTTTTTAATACTCCACTCAAATAAGAAACATTTTGAATGTGCTATACTTTTTTTATCCTTTGGATCACCTTTTAATTTTTTTTCTTTTCCTTTAAAGTGCCATACAAACTTTTATCAACACTTGTTTTGTCTCCACCTACTGGTATAGTAAATATTTTAAGATGATATTCTGGAGAATTTAAAAGAACTCAACTTTTTTCTCCCTTCATTGTTTAGGTATGAATTAGTTGGTGTAACTTTTACTTACTGTCTTCTTAAGGGAGACGATGTTGACTGGGGTGATCCATTTCCAGAGTGCAAAGGTAAGACTGAGAGTCAAAACACTCATGTTTTGGGGTTGACTAATCAATGACAAATTACTTTCTGTGCATTAAGAATTATTCACAGTGATCATATGATGTTTGTCTTTTATCACCTGGCTTATTTCATTCAGCATAACACTCTCCAGTTTCATCCATGTTGTCACAAAGGGTAGGGGCTCCTTCTTTCTTTCTGATGCATAGTATTCCATTTCATATGATCTCACCTGTAAGTGGTACCTAATCCACAAAATACAATGAGAGACATAGATATAAAGAACAAACGGACAGTAACCAGAGGGAAGGGAGGAGGATGGGGGCTAGAAGAGGAAGGGTAGTCAAGGAATATGTAGAAAGGATTCATGGGCAAAACCAAAGGGGAATGGATTGAGGGTGGGAGGTGGGTGTAGGTTGGGCAGGGGACAGTGGTGGTGGGAAAGTCAAGACAATTGTATTTGAATAACAACAACAAAAATTTAAAAAATTAAAATTAATTATTCACACTGAATATTTGTACTACCCTCATCTTCTAATATGTCTTAGCTTATTTAAAAACTTTTGTTTGTAATGCTCCTTAATTTATTAGCTATGGAGTAAAGAATTAAAAACAATCTAAAATTTGTATTGCATTTGGTCATTTACTATCTTGTCATTTCTTCTAACAGTCAAGTAGAATAGATATGAAAGTCTTTGGTCTAAGATCCAGCCTTTATCAAATAGTTGCCCCCTTTTTGCCATGAGGGGCTTCTGATGCATGTAAATGGACAACTCAGTCTACACACTAAAATGCCCTATGACCCTTATCCTCATTCTGCTGAACTATGGGCAGAGGTATGCACATCAGCAGTACAGACCATCCTCAAGTATATGGACCATGTGCTCCTTTCAGCAGCACATATACTAAAACTGGGACAATACAGAGAAGATTAGCATGTCCCCTGAATAAAGTTGATATGCAAATTTGTGAAGCATTGCATAGTTAAAAAAAGGAAGGGTGACCCCAGCTGGTGGGGTTGAGCACCAGCCTGTAAACTGAAAGGTTACCAGTTCACTGGTTTGATTCCTGATCAAGGCACTTGCCTGGGTTGTAGGCCAAGTCCCTAGTTGGGAGTGTACAAGGGGAAACAAATTGATGTTTTGCTCCCTCTCTTTCTCCCTCTTTTTTCTTATCTCTAAAATATAAATTTAAAAAACAAAGAAATAAAATAAAAGAAAGAGAAAGAAAGAAATGAAAGGAAAGAAAAAATAACGTGGACCAGGAGGAAGAACCCTCTCAGGCCTTGAGAGAGGTATTGGCACAGGAAATTCTGAATGCTAGTCCCTGAAGCAAGATTTAGAATGGGGTGGGGGAGGTGCTCTAAATGAGCACATTGCTTCAGCTCTGCAAATACCCAACTGGTAGAGACACAGCCAGAATAGGGCCATAGCACTACCTTTTAAAGTGTGGGAGCTAGGGCAGGAATTCTAGTCATGTACAACATTATACGTTTATTTCTCAGAGAATCCATAGAATCTCTGAAGCCCATATATAAACCTAGGGATAAAAATATAAGTATGTAAATTGATTAGCTTGGCTCTTAGGCCACTCCATTCTCTTTGGTCATATTTTACTTTACAGTACAATAAATATGGTGAAACCTTTAGTACCTTACGTACTATATATAGGCTGTCTATACACATAAGAGTTTTGTTGCCCTTGAATTTGTTCATTGTCAATTTCTGGTGGCTCTGGACAAACATTTTTTTGAAAAAAAATTAGCACATTTTAAATTAATAAAACTGGCAAGATATTTTTACAGATAAGTAAAACCAAAATAAGTTAAATATTTTATATTACAATTTCAAGTTTACCACATGTCTAAATTAAGCATTATCAATGAGGGAAACCTATAAATATTATTAAATAATGGGTAGTGTATTTGGAACTTTGGATACAATAGTTGTAAAACAAGAGCGCTAACTTTAAGACCAGTTTATAGATACACAGTCATGTGTAGCTTAACAATGAGGATGTGACCCGAGAAACATGTAGTTAGGCAATTTCATCATTGTCAAGCATCACAGAGTGCACTCACAAAATATAGATGATATAACTCACTGCACACTTAGGCTCCATTATAATGCTATGCAACCACGATCGTATGTGTAGTTCATCACTGACTGAAATGTCATTATGCAGCTAATGGTGCTGGGGGTGGTAGTGCTGGGTGATGTAATGTGTTGCATCAAACACCTGAATATGACATTTAGGAAATCAAGTCTTGTTGTGCATGTCCCAAGGAACTAAAATGATTGAAATAACTGTGTAAAATAACTTTCCTACATTAGCTCCCTTATTCCTCACAGTAAAATTATAAAATATGCTCTGCTTTTACACTCACTTTATAGGCGAGAAAACCAAAGTTCAGAGGGATTAGAAACCTTGGACTCTAGGATGTGGTGGCACAGGCCCAAATACCACTCAGAACTGCCATGAGAGGGAGGTTGTCCAAGCAACCCAAAGTCAAACACAAGTCACCATACCAGGCCCTCACTTGTGATTATCAGAATAAGATCTTAACTGAAGTTGCACTTTAGGCATTTGTGAAATCCAAAAGGAACTAAAATCCAAAAGGAACTAAACTGATGTTTGTAAAGTTGATAAACAGCACAAAAAAAAGAAAAGAAAAAGGGAGTAATTTCATTCTGACTAACTTTATTGCTTTAAGAAAGAAGTGAAATGTTTCCAAGGTCACTGACATGTCCTGAAAGCTGTGGGAACAGAAACTCTGGGTGGTCTCTGTTGTGATTATCTCTGTTGTCCAATGTTTGCATCCTGCTGTCCTTTGGTCTTGGCATGAGCAAAGGGAGACTCTTTCTGAGGGAAAATATCTTTATTTGGGGTGTGTCACAGAATGAAATCACTGCTTATTCTGACTTTGGCTTTCCTTCTTCACAAAAAAAGCAGTGTAATCTTCACAGTAATGCACTACTTGGTGCATTTAGTTGCCTGTAGTTATAATTTATATTGAAGTAAAATCAGTGTAGCAGTTTAGTTCCTTGGAAAATGCACAACAAGACTTGGTTTCCTAAATGTCATATTTAGGTGTTTGGGTCTGGGGAGAGAAGAGTCATCAAGTACGCAATTGGATTCTAAATTTTAACAGCATCGTTTAACTGATATTTGAATGACATTTTTCTTCCACAGAAAGTCCTCAGATTTCTAAGGTCACACCAGCTCCCCAGATGCCCACCACAACGGATGTTCCAGGTACAAAAGCTCCATCAACTGCTCAGAGACACACCACAGTAATCGTTCCAGCTACAGAAGTCACATCAACTCCTCAGGAACTCATCACAGTAAACTTTTCAGCTACAGAAGCCCCACTGACTCCTCAGAAATCCACCACATTAAATATTCCAGCTATAGAATTCCCCTCATCTCTTCAGAAACCCGTCACTGCAAATGTTCCAGCTGCAGAAGCCACATCAACTCCTCAGAAACCCACTAAAATAAATTCTTCAGCTACAAAGACCCTACTAACTGCTCAGAAATCCACCTTACATGTTCCAACTAATCCTCAGAAACCCACCTCAAATATTTCAGTTATGGAAACCCCATCAACTCCTCAGAAACCCACTAAAATAAATTCTTCAGCTACAAAGACCCTACTAACTGCTCAGAAATCCACCTTACATGTTCCAACTAATCCTCAGAAACCCACCTCAAGTATTTCAGTTATGGAAACCCCATCAACTCCTCAGAAGCCCACTAAAATAAATTCTTCAGCTACAAAGACCCTACTAATTGCTCAGAAATCCACCTTACATGTTCCAACTAATCCTCAGAAACCCACCTCAAATATTTCAGTTATGGAAACCCCATCAACTCCTCAGAAACCCATCACAGCAAATGATTCCTTCACGATAGCCAAAATAACCCCTGTATCAAATGCTCTGTCTACAGAGACCCCTTCGGCAGCCCAGACTCCCATCATGGCAAATTCTTCTGTTACACAAACTATACCAAAAACCCAAAGACTCACAACAGCAAAAGCTTCATTTACACAGAGCCTTCCAGGAACACAAAAGTTCACTGCTATACATGCTCCAGTGACTAAGAGTCTCCACACAACACAAAGACGGCCCTCTGCTCCTATTTCAGCAACACGGAGTAAAGCTGTTCCCAGGACATCCACACCTATTCATGCAAGAAGCACACCTATTCATGCAACCACACCTATTCATGCAAGAAGGACACCTACAGGAAAAGGAACCCCTTCTGCAGGTGAGCTGGTGCTCTACACATTTCTGAGTATGAATCTCATGTGTTATGGTGGAAATTTGAGCTTAACCAGGTTTACATAATTAAATAGTCGGTAATTTACTGTAGCCAGAGTTTTTTTTTTTCATATTAATGTTCCATGCTTTCTTCAGAGGCAGACTTGGATTGTGGTAAGGCAAATCTTTAGAAAAAGAAAAAGGTTTGGCCCCATAAGAACAATGGTAAATTAAGATTGGTGAAAAAATTCTGTTTTCTATATTAGCTGTAGAGAGTGACTCTTCAGAGAACCAAATATATGCCATCCTTCTTCTGGCTATGGTTCACTGACAGAGACCCATCCCTCAAATAGCTAAAGAATCCCTCCAGACTCCCTCGAGTTGCCAATTTGGTAAAGCATCTCAACAGTGTCTTCTAAGTAATTGAATACACAGAGTTGGTTTTTTTAATAGTTCATATTAGTACAGAGTGCTTTAAATAAAGATACTTTTTATAAAAAGGGAATAAAATATGCTGTAGACTTTGGAAATACCTGATGAGTGAATAAACAAAGCCCTCTTATTAATTAATGCTTCTATCAGGATATTATCCTCTTGTCTCACAATTTGCTCAATGTATGGCCATTTTTATAGATATTCTTGTTCTCCAATAGAGATACCTATTTTGTTTTATTTTACTTTATTTCATAGAAAATCTCAGTAGAACTGAGCTATGATATATTTTTTAAAAGAACATTTTAACATTTTTATTGAAGTCAGTGCATAAAACATACATACGTGGCTCAATAACTTTTCTAAAGGAAATATTTGTGTAACCACCTCAAATGTCAAGAAATAGAACATCAGCAGCCCCTCAGATTGGCCCCCATCACTTTCTAGATACTTGGCCTGTCCTCTCACTTAAGCCAGTGAGACTGTGAGTTTCTGCTCCTAACACCACGTGGCCTAGGGATTTCCCGCAGCTGCATATGTGCAAATCTCAGTGCATACAGTTCTCTCTCTTGGCTTTGATCCACTTCTGTCTGTGCTCCAGGGCCTTGAAATTGTTGTTACTGTTGTTTTTCAATATTTTGTCCAGATTTTATAATTGCTACCTTGAAGACAATTTTTAATTTATTTTTATTTTTTATTTAATTATTTTTCAAGTACAGTTTTTTGTCTATTTCTCCCATCCCAGCCCACCCTCCCTGTGCTCCCCACCTCCCTCCCATTTCCACCCCCTTAGTTATTGTCCCTGTGTCCCTTTATACTTGTTCCTCTAAGTCCCTCCCATTCTTCCCCTGAAATTTCCTCCCTGCCCCCTCTGGTTGCCATCCCCTTGTTCTCTATTTCGGTGTCTTTGTTTTTATTTTGCTTCCTTGTTTGTTTTGTTGTTTAGCTTCCTGTTAAAGGTGAGATCATATGGTATTTGTCTTTCAACACCTGGCTTATTTAACTCAGCATAATGCTTTCCAGTTCCATGTTGTTGCAAAGGGTAGTAGCTCCTTCTTTCTCTCTGCTGCATAGAATTCCATTGTGTATATGTACCACAATTTTTGATCCATTCATTTACTGACGGGTACCTAGATTGCTTCCAACTCTTGGCTATTGTAAATTGTGCTGCTATGAACATTGTGGTGTATAAGTTCTTTGAAAGTGGTGTTTTAGTGTTCTTAGGATATAATCCTAGCAGTGGAATTGCTGGGTCAAAAGGCAGGTTGATTTTTATTTTTCTGAGAAAATTCCATACTGTTTTCCATAATGGTTGTACCAGTCTGCAATCCCATCAACAGTGAACTAAGGTCCCCTTTTCCCCACAACCTCTCCAACATTTGTTGTTAGTTGCTTTTTTATGATAGCCATCCTGACCGGTGTAAAGTGATATCTCATTGTGGTTTTAATTTGCATCTTTCTGATAGCTAGAGATATTGAGCATCTCTTCATGTGTCTCTGGATGTTCTGTATGTCCTCCTTGGAGAAGTGTCTGTTCAAGTCCTTTTCCCACTTTTTCATTTCGTTGTTTGTCTTCTCAGAGTGGAGTTGTGTGAGTTCTTTGTATATTTTGGAGATTAAACCTTTGTCTGAGGTATTATTGGCAAATATGTTTTCCCATACAGTTGGTTCTCTTTTTAATTTAATACTGTTTTCTTTAGCCACACAGAACCTTTTTATTTTGAAGAGATCCCATTTGTTTATTCTTTCCTTTATAATTCTTGCTCTAGGGGACATATCAATAAAAAAAGTTGCTGCGTGAAATATCTGAGATTTTGCTGCCAATGTTCTCCTCTAGGACTTTAATGGTTTCAAGGCTTATATTTAAGTCTTTTATCCACCTTGAATTTATTTTGGTGTATGGTGTAAGTTGGTGCTCAGGTTTCATTTTTTTGCATGTAGCTGTCCAGTTCTCCCAACACCATTTGTTGAAGAGGCTATCTTTACTCCATTTTATGTTACTGCCCCTTTTGTCAAATATTAATTGAGTGTAGAGAGTTGGGTTTATTTGTGGGCTCTCTTCTGTTCCATTGGTCTATGTGCCTGTTTTTATGCCAGTACCAGGCTGTTTTAATTACAGTGGCCTTGTAATACAATTTGATATCAGGTATTGTGATTCCTCCTACTTTGTTCTTCTTTCTCAAAATTGCAGCTGCTATTCAGGGTTGTTTGTGGTTCCATATAAATTTTTGAAGTGTTTGTTCTATGTCTGTGAAATATGCCATTGGTATTTTAATAGGTATTGCATTGAATCTGTAAATTGCTTTGGGTAGTATAAACAATTTGATGATGTTAATTCTTCCAATCCATGAACAAGGTATATGTTTCCATTTGTTTGTGTCTTCCTTGATTTCTTTCTTCAGTGCTGTGTAGTTTTCTGCATACAGGTCTTTTACCTCCTTAGTTAGGTTTATTCCCAGATATTTTATTTTTGTTTTTGGTATATTGAATGGGATTTTTTTATTTCTGCTTCTGCTGATTCATTGTTGGTATACAAAAATGCCTTTGATTTCTGGATATTGACTTTATAACCCACTGTTTTGACAAATTCATTAATTAGTTCGAGCAGTTTTTGGGTAGAGTCTATAGGATTTTCCATGTACACTATCATGTCATCTGCAAACAGTGACAGTTTTGTTTCCTCCTTTCCTATTTGGATGCCTTTTATTTCCTTTTCTTGCCTGATCACTGTGGCTAAAACTTCCAATACTATATTGAATAGAAATGGTGAAAGTGGACATCCTTGTCTTGTTCCTGATCTTCGTGGAAAAGATTTTTGTTTTTTGCCCATTGAGTATGATGTCGGCTGTAGGTCTCTCATAAATGGCCTTTATTATATTGAGAAATGCTCCCTCTATTCCCACTTTGCTGAGTGTTTTTATCATAAATGGGTGCTGTACCTTATCAAAAGCTTTTTCTGCGTCTATTGATATGATCATGTGGTTTTGTTTTTGCTTTTGTTTATGTGATATATTACATTTACTGATTTGCGAATATTGAAACATCCTTACATCCCTGGGATGAATCCCACTTGGTCATGGTGTATGATCTTTTTGATATATTGTTGGATGCAATTTGCCAATATTTTGTTGAGGATTTTAGCATCTATGTTTATCAGTGATATTGGTCTGAAGTTTTCTTTCTTTGTTGTGTCTCTATCTGGTTTTGGAATTAAGATGATGCTGGCTTCATAAAAAGAATTTGGGAGTTTTCCATCCTTCTGGATTTTTTGGAATGAAGACTATTTTTCTATCACCCAGATACTTTTTGAAATGTGAGACATTAAACATTATTGTTGAAATTAGTTTTGTATATTTCTTTATGCCATTAAAGCCAAATGCACATAAATACTCAATATATTATTCCATACCTGACTGGCTCAGTGAGTTCATCCTGAGTGTCATCCTGCAAACAAAAAAAGTCACCAGTCAATTCTCAGTCAGGGCATATGTCTGGATTGTGGGTTCAGTCTCCAGGTGGGGACATGGAAGAGGCATCTAATCGATGTTCTCTTGCACATTGATTTCTCTCTCTCTTCTCCTTTCTCTAAAAATAAATAAAAATCTTTTAAAAATCTCATTCCACTTAGTTTCTTTAACACTGGATCTTCAATTTCTGCCTAATTTAGGTCACTCTTCAATGGCATTAAACAATTGTGTTTTTAAAAACAGTTTCACACATAATGACCACATTTTGATAATGATTTAAAAAAATTTTGTAATTGTTATCTTGAAGCCTATTTGCCAATATCTAGATATTTTAAAAAGTTTAACCATTACAGATATTACCATTACAGTTCCCTTGAACATTTCTCCATTCCCTTTCTCTCATCCTGAGTCAATTAAGGGTGAGATTTGTGTGCAAACTTTCTGTTTTTATTCTTATGTTACATATTTGTATCTGTAAATAGTATATAATATTTTTTGTAGTTTACATAAATAGAATGTCATATTTTTCTTATCTAAAGTGGCTTTTTTGCACTCAATATTGATTTTGTGGCTTACATTAATACAACAGTTCATTTAGATTTAGTTAATTAATTTTTAAAATGTATTTTATTGATTATGCCATTACAATTGTCCCATTTCTCCCCCCTTCATTCCCCTCCACCCTGCACACCCCCTCCCCCACCATTCCCCCCCCTTTTGGTTTATGTCCATGTGTCACAAGTTCTTTAGATTCTATATTTCCCATACTATTCTTGCCCTCCCCCCTGTCTATTTTCTACCTACCGTCAATGCTACTTAGTCTCTGTACCTTCTCCTCACTTCTTCTCCCACTCCCCTGTTGCCAACCCTCCATTTAATCTCCATTTCTATACTTCAGCTCCTGATCTAGCTGTCCTCTTAAATTGCTTTTGTTTTAGGTGTGGTTGTTAGTAACTGTGAGTTTGCTGTCCTTTCACTGTTCATCTTTTTTATCTTCTTTTTCTTAGATAAATCCCTTTAACATTTCATATAATAAGAACTTGGTGATGATGAACTCCTTGAATTTGACCTTATCTGGGCAGCACTTTATCTGCCCTTCCATTCTAAA